GGATGGTCACTGGGAAGAGGTAACTATGGGGAGGAAGTGGGAGGGGAGCTGTTGCATTGTAAACTGTGGTCAATGACATGAGACAAAGTATATGTGAACTGCTGTATGGAAAGTGAATTCGCTCTGTAAATCTTCACCCTAATCACAATAAATAAAATAAAATTTAAAAAGACTTATGAACCAGTCATGTCATGTGAGAAATGATAAAAGGAACTGAGAATGTTTATCCTGGAAGAGAAAAGACTCAAGGTAAATATCAATAGTCTTCAAATTCCTCATGTGGAAAAGAACAACAATTTATTCTGTATAATGCCTGGAACCAATGCATCTAAATCACAGGGAAACAAATGTCAACTCAAGAGAATGGCTGCCTTATGAAGAAATATGTACTCACCATACCACCTAGCAAGGGTTGTGAATACCTAACAGGGATACTACAAATGGAACTCCTAGATGGAGTGTCAGACTAAATGATTTTTAAGACTCTATAATTGAATAAATCTATCAATCAGAAACAAGCCTACTAGAAAATAAGTCTTTTATATTTTCTAAGCAACATAGGTAAAACAGTTGTAGAAAATGAAATCATGCTTTTCTTACCTCTAACCAAATTAAGATAAACCCATTTACCACTTACCACTAGCCTGGAATACATTTAAGTTCAAGTATCATCTCTCCACTATATATATCATTTATTAAATAGTGACACAGTTTTATCAAAGTATTTCTCTTCAATTATCTACATTTATAAAGCCAAGGTAAAACATATTGATGATCAGACCACAAGAATAGTATACAAACATTATTAGTCAGCTCAAATGAAAGAAAGGCAAATTAATGTTTTGTTAGGCCAATCAGAAAAGTCTTAAATCCTAGCTTCATTACACAGTATACACTACACAAGTTAATATAAGTCACACTGAAGTACACTGAACTTTATTACCTCTGAGTTAGCATTTTCAGCTAGTAACTTTTTGCACTCATCTTTCAGTTTTTCAGATTCTCTCTCCCGTTCCAAAGTCATGTTGTCCATTAATGTTTGAACTTGGACCAGCTCCCTCTTCAGCACAGCCACATCTTCTATACCAGGTCTCTGAAGCTATGAAGCAACAAACTTTAATTAAAAGTGAAAAGTAAAAATAACACATACTTTTAGAATGCTTTCACCACACAGAAATCAAAATGAAAATCTTTAATATCAATTATTGGATTCAAAAGATTAATCCCAGCTATCCTGCCCCTCAACAAACCACCTCCTCTGTCCACCCTATTTCAAATTTAGTATAACCCCTCAAGGTACAAACTAGAAAATTCACAATGACTTTAGTGCTTTAGCTTTACCTTTTTTTCTTCTCCTTCACAAACTAAGCCCTTTAGTCATTACAGTCACATAATGGGTATCACATTCCTTCATTTCCCATCTAGGAAACCAGCATAAAAATGAAAAAGTGCATATATACACATAATTAGGGTTTGCTGCTCATTTATTTATTCACATATTTATTAAGTGCTAAGTAAAGGACAGAAAAAAGTCAAAGATCTGAGGTTAAGCCTAAGGAGAGTGTTTATGATGCATAATGCCAATGACATAAATATAGTTATGAAGGAAGTATGATAATTTTATACTTATTGAATTTGAAGTGAATGCTAGAAATGCAATTAGATTTATCCTAAAGGTAGCTGGATATATAAAACTAAAGCTCAAGGGAAAGTCAAGATAGAGATACCAGCAAAAAAAAAAAACACTAAAAAAAGATGGTTATTTAGAAACAACAAAAATGTTAAGGTTATAAATTATGCATCATAAAATTCCATTTTGTATTTTTTAAAAAAACTCATATAGTGTAGGTAGAACTACACAGGATATTTTATTTTCTCCATTTTAGTCCAACTATATATATTTAAAAAACAAATATATAACCACTTCAAACAGAAACAAAGACTAGTATAATGAACTCCCATGTTAAAAGGAGATCCTGGGTGGTATAAACAGTTAACACACTTGGCTGCTAACCAGAAGGATGTTAACCCAGAGGCTTCTCAAAAAATAAGCCTGGTAATCTACTACCAAATGTCAGCCACTGAAAACCCTATGGAGCACAGCTGTACCGTAACACACATGGGGCGGTCACCATGAGTTGGAGTCAACTTGACCGAAACTGGTTTATATTTTCAAAATTTCTCTTCAGATAATGTATTTTATCTTAATTTAGAAAACTATAAAAGTACATGCCAATAAGTCAGCTTTGAATTACCAGTTCAGTCTTCAGATCTTGAATTATAGTAGCCTCTCTGTTCAATTCTTCTGTCAGATGTGTCACTCTTTGTTCAGCAGCTTCTCGAAGACTCCTTTCTTCATCATATTTTGACTTTATATCTATTTAAAGATAGCTCTATAAATACTAATTTCATGATATTAACTCTAGGGAAGAACAGTTTTATAAATTCCTGAATATTACTCTGTATAACTATATATCACTGTAATTCAAATGCACATTGCTTTTATTACTCACACATATATAAGACTGTAAAAGTATACTTCTGGTTATTTTTCAAAATGACCTGAAAATTGATCAAATTGGGTTTTTTCCACATAAATTCCATATAATACTAACATCATTTAGCATTAATTTTTAATGTACAGGTAGTCTCCAGATTACAAACGAGATCTATTCTTAACTCTGCCTTTAAGAATGTGTAGGTGAGTCAGAAGGAGCTCTGGTAGCATAGTGTCTAAGGCACTTGACTGCTAACCAGAAGGCTGGCAGTTCAAACCCACCAGCCACTCCTTGGAAGGTTAGCAATCTACTTCCAAAGTGATACCGCCTCAGAAACCCAAGAAGGGGTCACTATGAGTCGGGTCCAACTCAACGGCACATAACAACAATAACAGGTGAGTCAGACAGGTTCAAACAGTTATTTTTTTAGCCTTACCTTGTTGTTGTTATGCACTGTCAAGTCAGACCCAATTCATAACAACCCCTCCTTGGTTTTCCGAGATGGTATCACTATGGAAGTAGATTGCCAACCTTCCTTCCAAGGAGTGGCTGGTGGGTTTCGCCAACTTTCTGGTTAGCTGTCAAATGCCTTAAGCACTACGCCACCAGAGCTCCCCCAGCCTTACCTTGGTGCAAGAAAATGGCTCAAAGTCTTTTAATGATTTAAAATCTACATGGGCAGATGAAGAATCTCTTGGGAGTAGGGGTTGACTCAATTATTTCAAAGTGAGGACAAATATACATAACATTAAAGCAGGGCTTCAAAATAGTACTGTCCTGCTCAAAGATGGTAGCTCCCCAATCAAAGATGATGATTGACCACACCACTTTGAATGTGTGTGGTTTCCATAGTCCTGCTAATAACCTGTTCTTATGGATCAAGTTCCTGAAAGGGTTCACTACACCTCTTCTGATACTCCTATTTCAGGGCTTTGACCCATAAATTTTGCATTCTGGTTCCTGTGACAAATCACCCAAACTGTAAAAAATTAAGTCTGTTCCTGTTTCACTTCATGGGCCATGACAGAAATGGTCTGAACCCCTACAATAAACACCCAGTAGAGGTTGCCTATATGTCAAATGTTTGTAACCTGGGAATTGCTTTTATATGTAATTAGATATAGTATTTCACATAAAAGCATATAGTAAAAAAAAAAAGAAAGAATATACACAAATTGATACCAAAACGAAGTATTAAATCTGTTGTTGTTGTTGTTATGTGCCATCAAGTCGGACCCAACTCACAGTGACCCCTCCTTGGGTTTCTGAGGCAGTATCACTACAGAAGTAGATTGCCCAACCTTCCTTCCGAGGAGTGGCTGGTGGGTTTGAACCACCATCCTTCTGGTTAGTAGTCAAGTGCCTTAGGCACTATGCTACCAGTATTAAATCTATAACACATTAATTAAATTCTTCCAAATGTTGTTTATGGGATGGTGGCCAAGATGGTGGACTAGGCAGAAATATGATCCAGACTTTCTACAACAAAGACCAAAAAACTCAAGTGAAATGGATATGGATGACAATCTTGGAACCAACAGCTTCAAAGGAAAGGATAAAGAAGTAGATCAAATACTAACTAGACAAAAACACTGAATGCAAACAGCAAATAAGGAGGCATATGAAGTGGTGAATTGCCAATGGGTCTAGCACTGCATGCACATTTTGAATTACTGTAGGCAGCATTCCAATCAGGAACCAGGTAACCAGACCTGCTCACCAAGGACTGCACAAACACCTACATCTGTGACCAGTGACCAGAGAATTCTTCCCTCTCACCTGCAACTCTTTCTCTTTTACTTTCTTGATTTTGATTCTGCAGAGTGGCCTCACTGCCTCCGAAATCTCCTCAGCTAGCAGCACCCACCCGCAGACCTATGTACATTATCAAAGAGTGAGTGCTTCTACAGAGCAAGTGTCACATTCCCACTGCAGCATGTTCAGCAGCTAGGGCTTGTGCCAGTACTTTGCCACTTTTGCTTTTTTTAATTTTTCATTCTTCGTAGTTCTTCCCTGTCCCCTCCTTGTTTTTATCTTTTTTTTTTCCCCTCCTCTTAATCATCCCCATTTTTTTTAACCCTGCTGAGAGGACACCTCAGATCTACCACCTCAATGATCAGCAGTACCAGCCTCCACTGCCTTCACAGGTAAAGATGAACGATCTCATGCTGCAGGTGTCCAGTGCCCTGCTAACTCTGTGGTCAAGAAAACCTACCCTTGCCCCTCTGCAAACAGTGGTGCATACTCCTGTAGAGCAATTGACACTTCCCCCCTGCAGCTATGCTGGGTGAGTAGTGTTTCTACCAGTAAAGTTTGACTTTTTTTCTCTATTTTCTTTTTCTGTCTTCTTATTTCTTCCCTGTTTACTCAACCCCATCCCGCCCCTCCTTTCCCTTTTGTCTTTCTCTTCATATCCCTTTCTTTTTCCTAATCAGTCAGGATCCACCCACCCAGCAATACCCACCACCCTACCAACTAGGCAAGTGCCAACACTCACTACAGCACAACTGGATTGACAATACATGGCAACCTACACCACTCATCCTGTGCTCAGCTTCTCTATACAATCAGCAATTAGAGCCTTGCATACACACAAACACCTGCTACAAAATCTATCTGGAGACAGGTGGTGAGCACCCTAATGGTGCAAAATTAGTGACCAGAAAAGCATGACCCTCCATTGCCCAAATATATTAAAACAAAACAAAAATTCTGGGTGAAATAAACCAACATATAATCAACAATCTATACAATAAAACTAATGTATCAGATACAGCAAACAATTTCAAATCACACACAAAAAACAAGATAACTCAAACAAGAGACCAAATTATGCGGATAGAAAATCTTCTAAAGGAAGAAATGCTTTCACAACTACCTAATAAGGAAGTCAAGGAGCTGGTGGCATAATGCCTAAGGCATCTGACTGCTCACCAGAAGACTGGCAGATCAACCCTACCAGCAACTCCGCAGAATGAAGAATGGGCAATCTACTTCCATAAAAATTTACCACTTGGAAACCCAAAGGGAGTCTCTAAGAGTCACAATTGGTTTGATGGCAGTGAGTTTAATTTTGGTTTTTTGGTTTCATAAAGAATTTGAAAAAATGATTTGAAGGTCTTCAGCAGATTAAGAAGGAGTTCAAGCAAAACAAAGACAACACCAAGAAAATTGTAGACATATCAAGGAAAACATCAAACAAAGCCTAGAAAAATTCAGGAAAACAATGTAACAGCAAATTCATACAATAAATAGACAATGAGAAAACTGTATAAAGATACCAACAAGAAATCCAAAAGATTAACTGTAAAATTTCAGAACAGAACATTGGAAGTATAAAGGAGTACAATCAAATCAATGAAAGAATCAACAAAACTAAAGAGAAATCTCTTCATACTAACCTGTTAGAAGAACAATTAGAGAAAAGAAAAAAAAAAAAAAAAAAAAAAAAAAAAATGAAGATGGCCTAAGAATTATGTGAAACACCATTAGGAGGAATAACCTACGTAACGTCAGAATTCACGAACAGAAAGAGAGAGAGAAAGAGAGAAAAACAGGGGGGGAGGAAATTGTCAAAGATTTATTGGAAGAAAGCTTACTTACTATCATGGAAGATGAGAAGATATGCATTCAAGATATTCAACAAGTCCCAAATAGAATACACACCAAAAGAAAATCACCAAGACATACCAAACTTTCCAAAATCAAACACAAAGGAAGAATACAGAAAACAGCTCAGGAAAAGTGAAAAGTCACCTACAAAAAACAACCAATAAGACTAAGCTCTGATTTCTTGGCAGAAATCATCCAGGCAAGAAGGCAAAGGTAAGTCATATATAAAATGCTAAAAGAAAAAAAAAAAAGTCAACCAAGAATGATATATCCAGAACAACTGTCCTTCAAATACAACAGTGAAATTAGGATATTTCAAGATAAACAGAAATTAAGGGAATTTGTAAATATGAGACCAATTTTAGAGGAAATGCTAAAGGGAACCCTTTAGATAGACAACAGAGAATCAACAACAGCAGAAAACAACCTGAGATTAAACATATGACAGGATAATTAGCCGGAGTTCCAGTAAGATGGTGGAATAGGCAGAAAGACTTCACAGACCCTCTTCACCAAATAAAGAAGAACCAATTAACACAGATACAGAAGATAATCCTGGACCCCTGAACCCTGAAGGTAAGGATATAGAAGTAGACTAAACTCCAACTAGCAGAAGAATTTGCATGAAAAAAACAAAAAAGGAAACATATTGAGCTGTGGGCTAGCAGCAATCCTGATGGCATAGACAGCTTGAATATTGCCAAGTGGTGGTAAGAACTAAGAATTAACCTAAAAATCAGCCCTGCTAGCCAGGGACTGCACGGAGGACTGCTGTGGTGGCTGGGAAATAAAAGGCAAAGCAGCAGCGAAGAGAAGGGCAGGCTGAGCTGTGGACTTTTGCCTGTCTGGAGGACACTGCCATTTTGAATGTTTACGAGTGGCTTGACCATTTTGGATATTTAAAGTGACAGCGTTCTCCCAGATTCCAGGGACTTAAAAACAGGCTCCACTTGCTGGAAACTGCAAAGCCATCCCAGACTCTCGGATGACTGAAAAGGTGAGATGTTCCCCTTCTCCTGTATCTCATACCCTCTTGGTGAATGGAGGAAGGAAGGCCATCTCTCATTCCCATCCACCTTCTAGGCTGACAGGAATTCCATCCCAGTCCATGTGCACCGAGGGAGACTGGGTGCCCTGCACCACCCTGTCCAGATTTTTCTTTTTTTTCTTTTGTTTTTGACTGTTTTAAAACCACTAATATTATTATTACTTTTGTCTTCTTATTATCATTTATTCTTCCCTTCCCAGGTTCTAGTTTACAGCTGTT